GGCTTCGATCGTGTTGAATGGTTTGTTATGAAAGATGAGGGAATTCAGGGATCAAGCTGAGAATGACGGGACAATTTTACTGCGGAATTTAAGTCACTGTATCAAGACAGGAAAAATCTTTGGTACAGTGAAATTGCAGATGCAGCATCAGTATAGCTCAATATCAGCATTGCTGGGTATTTTCATTGTAAAGTCTTTTAAAAAAAAGGGCTTTGAAACTGCCACGCTTTGATATTCGGCGCTGAGATAGTAAAGCTTTTTGTAATACACGGGATCTAGAAAAGTGTTCCAGAGCTGAAGTGAAATTATTTCCTCTGCTGTCTTGCTGTGTCGGCCAGTGTTATTCTTCAAGTAAATTCAGGACGAATATTTTGTTTTGTTTGTTTCAGTTATGTTTTTTCACATATTATACGCTAATGACAGGAGAGATGAATCCGTCTCGACCTGTGCCCACCGACAGCATTTTCATTTACAGGCCAGACAAGCGATTGCAGGTTTGGAGGTTCGTCTTCTACATGGTTCTTCATGCAGGGTAAGATCTTCATCCTTAGTCGCAGCCGTTTTTTTTCTTGTTTCTGATGCTCAGGTGACAGGTTCTCGAAGGTTAAGGAAAGCCTGAAAAAGTCAAGATTATGCCCAACACTGAAAAGTTAGGGAATTTTGTTGCATAGCGTTGTTTTTTCTTCCAGCCAAAAAATTGTATTTTTTAAATTTCAAGAGACTTAGGAAAACAATTTTTTTGTAAAAATAATAGTCATGAGAAATTATGCAAGAAAAAAAAGTCAGGGAATTTTAAGTTCAAAAACCCTGGAAAGTTACAGAAGTCGGGGAGTCCTGAAATCCTAGAAAGCTTGTCACCCAAATATCAAAGTGCTCGCCTGCCTTACTTGCTTCTAAAAACTCATCAGAGTATTTACTGAAAATATCATTATGCCAGTGGAATTAGGTCGTATGGCCTCGTTTAAATTCGTTTCAGTGAGATTTCAGAGGTTTTAATCATACCTGGAGAAAGGTAACAGTATTGTACCTAAGATGTTGAGATAGCTAACATTTTTGAGTAAAATAATTCTTGCTCTGCGCAAAATTTATAGATACTAAAGTAAATTGGCCCAACTAAATGGTGAAGTTCAAAATCCGGAACGCCCTCTTAATACTATCAGAGCAGTTTTGCCTATTATTTTGTTACAATTTCAAAGTGGACGGATTCAACTAGAACTAACCCAACAGCATTTCTCGTTGCCTAATTTCTTTTGAATTGTTATTTCTCTTATCAGAGAACCAAACAACATATGCCTTGAACGTTGCTGTACATTTTCTCTAATTTACGTATAATATGAACACAAAATTTCAAGTCAGAATGATGATTACTTTTCTCTGGAAAAAAGAAATCATGACAGAAAATCAGGCAATGTCAAAAGTACATATAATTAGGTTGATTTCAGTCAAATCTGTCCAATTATACTCAAATTTTAAACCATATTTGAAATAAATACTATTCAAATTTTATAATTTTTTCCTTAATTTCAGAGATAGGGCCCTGTAGTTACATAGATCCATGGCCACTTCTGTAAACTTGATTTTTTACATTTTTTTCAGATGGCTCCATTTATTGTTCAACTTGCTGGTACAAGTTTTAGTTGGACTTCCCTTGGAGATGGTGCACGGATCTTTCAGGATAGGCATTGTTTACATGGCAGGAGTCCTTGCTGGTGAGTTTTTTAGATCCATCAGGTCTCTAGTTTTTCATATGTTTAGGGTCGTTGGTGTCAACTTCAAAATATCATCAGTCTGCTTCATCTTAAATGCAATTTTGATATAGTGAAAAAAAGAGACTTGAGATCCTAAAAATTCCCAACTTGCTTATCAGGTTTGTCTTGCGAACAATTTGCGCCAAAAAGTCCAAATACCCTATAAACCGTATTAGAGCTACGGTAGTTTGCATTTTTTATCTTCCAAAAGTTATGTAGTTTCGAAGAAACGATTTTGAATTTGGTCTTATTCAGGGCTCCAAATTCTTGAATGCAACTGCATTTTCTTGACGTAATCAGGTAAAAATTCCTCTTCTAAAATTTGTCCGTGTTAAATGGAGGTTTTATCACTGTTAACAGTATCCTAACACACCATTGTGTTTATTTTGGTTATCTGTCCAAAGGAACATAGGATTAGGGTTCCTGTCATCCACAATTGGGTAAGCAAAACATTGTTGCAAAGTTGCATTCCAGTAAGCCCCCCTGTCATCTCTGCGGGGCGATTATTGAAATGATATCGACTGTATGTCAGCGCTTTGT